ATAGCCCTTCAGTACTGTATTTACTGTTGAGTCTCTACAAAATCCTAGAGTGTATAGTCAGGGTCTGAGAGTTCTAAGGTGACTTCTGAATTTGTAGAAAAGGTTTCTTACTACAAATCCTGCTTGTCACTCATTATCACTCTAATGACCTGACAGATATACTGTTACTTCTGTAGACAGTCCTTAATCTAGTGTTCTAACTTTCTGTAAGTAAAGTATACTCCTTACTTTCAGGCTTCTCTAATGTCTATCAGAACAGATTGATTGTGAATTACAGGCAGATTGATTCAAGGGCTCAGAACTGTTAGAGCTAGACACATGTGTAAGTGTTCTACACAGACTTAATATATCTGAGCTACAGCTTAGTTGAAGGAGATAGTGTGTGTCTTCTACTCAGTATAGGTGACTAGTTCTAGCATTATCCTAAGAATCTTATTAACTAGTTCTGAGTGAAGAGCTTTTTCAAGCATTCTAATAAGAACATTATTAAACCTAAGTATGAATCCTACCTTCTAGGTTAGGATATTGAACTCCTGAAAGAAGGCATTAGTAGAATGTTTGCCCTGTTACAGAGACACAAGCTTGTTCTACACATTGTACTTCTTATTCAGATTAATGAAGGAAGTACAGAGCTACCTTATAAATTCTGAGTATGACTTGTTGTTCTAAAGTCAGATCAGGCTTCTAATCCAATAGCCTTTGATCCAGTTCTAGGCCCAAGTGGTTGTGTTACCTTCCTTCATGAAGGAGAGGACAAATAGGACACAATTAAGATCTGAGGATAGATCAGTTGAAGTAGTAGCTACATATAGTTCAACTTAGTACTAGAAGTCCTTAAAGTGTTACCTATTAAAGTCTGAAGGGTAGGCTATGTGTACTTTCTTTCTGAAACAAGTTACAACTTTCAGAACAACTAGAACAGGTTCTAAAGGGGCTGGGGGCACATAGTTAGTAAAGGTCTCTTAGATAGAGGTCTACATGTATTAAGCTAGTTCTACTTATAACTACTAATCTGGCAGGACAGTAGGGGTGGCAGTTAGTGTAGAAGGGTCTATGTTTACACTACAAAGGAATCAGTACTAAACTAAAAGGGGTAATGAATAGAAGAAGGGTGGCAAAAGTTTAAAAGGGGTTTAAGGAGTTTAAAATTTAAAAATGTAGAAGGGTTAGAACAAAGAAAAGAGATCAACACAACAGTAAGTACTAATACTCAAAACATAGGAGAGTTGTAGGGTGGTAATAGGTAGTCTTGATCTGATGTTAGTAACAGTGTAGAGGGGACCTGAAGGCTCAGTAAGGGGACCTAGACTACAACTATCCTACACAACAGAAATACAGAACACAAGTACTAGAACATAGTCAGAACAGGCAGAACAGGCAGAGAGATAGAGTAAGACAAGAGTAGAGTATATAGAGTGAGCCTAAGAGTACAGGACTACCTAGAGTAGACAAGATCAAGACTACAGGACTAGTCTGATCTTATACACTTATATATACTAAACTACATAAGAGTACTCAGGGAGTATGAGCCACTAAGAATGATAAGCTACAAAGAATGAAAGAAAGGGGAGGTCAAAGATAAAGGTACAAAGAATGAAGGGATGGACAAAGGGTAAGAGACTATAGAATGAACAAAGAAAGAAAGGGGTGGTCAAAGGAATAGAATGATGAAGTAAGGAAGGGTAGTAGTAAGAGTCAGCATACATATAGTCTATAGACAGTGCCCTCAAGGGACAGAAGTCCTGAGTTCTGGTACAGAAGGGTGCAGAACCCTTTAGAA